CAGTTGGTCTTCTGTGAGAAGACCTTCCGGACACCTGTAAGAATATCTTCTGGTCACCGGTGGGAGAAGGTATTTTGTGGGATTTCTATAAGAAGTTGAACTGCTCTTCTATGAGAAGATCAACTGCTCTTCTATGAGAAGATCAACTGCTCTTCTATGAGAAGATCAACTGCTCTTCTATGAGAAGATCAACTGCTCTTCTATGAGAAGATCAACTGCTCTTCTATGAGAAGAGCCCAACTGCTCCTTTATGAGAAGACCTTTTTGTCTTCTGGGAGAAGACTTTATGTTCTTTAGGTCTTCTGTGAGAAGATCTTCTGGTCTTCTATGAAAAGAGCTTCTGGTCTTCTATGAGAAAATCTTCTGGTCTGCTATGAGAATACCTTCTAGTGTTCTGTGAAAACAAGTTTTTGTCTTCCCGGCAATAATCCCAGCCAAAATTGCTTAACCCTTTCAGTGTCAATGAAAATTTTTGTCGAGATAAAAATCTGAAATTCCGTACTAATTTACTAAAATGTGCTCAGAAATTCGAAAACGAAACTAATAGAATAGAACTGCAATATTTTTAAATAGCGAACGTGTCTGTTATTAAAAAATATCAAAACTAACGGTTCGTAAGAAAAACAAAAAATGACAAAGAAAGAGAGTACTTTTAAATGTCAAATATATTTGACAAAAACACTGAAAGGGTTAATGTAGAGGATGAGAAAAGTGTTCTAAGTCTTCTCTGAAGCCACTAGTGTAACCTCCATATACATGCTATCTTAAACCGATATTCCACTATCTTTTCGAGGCGATAAGACTAGGTTTGTTATATTCAATCCGCCAAAGAATATGTCATATTCCTAAACATTATGGTATAGTATTTTCTGTGGAGCTGCATAAGTCATTGGAAAAACTTGTCCCATTTAAAAAGTCCTTTTACTGCTGCAATTGGCGCCAATCTTTTCGAAACAACCCCTTTCAACAATATAAGATTTATGCGCTTTTCCCACTCTCAAGGAAAAATAAAACACACAGTCATTAATTTCCACTTGAAATCCCGGTGCATAATTACAAGGTAATGCCTAGTTAGCACTTGATTCCTTTAATGTTGTGTTAATTGTATGTGTGAAATAACCATTTTTCATAGGACTAACTGGGAAAATGCAAGGCCACATTGAACTCACAGCAATGGGATGTAGAGAGGGTTAGAAATGGAAACTAGTTAACCCTGTAATTTTATTAACGATTTTTCCCAAAAAATAATACGAAAACAGACATTAATTACGCAAAAGGAAGAAAGAGTAACTAAACCACCATAAATGACAAGTACATGCACACACACACACTGTGACTATGCATTACAGGTAATAAAATTAAATAAATAATAATTCGAGAAAAAAATGCGACGCTTACATACACACAATAACCGTGACAAGTTGGTGTTTGTTTTCCATGGAATAGCGATAAACCACTGAATGATATGGTAATTCTTGGTAAGAACCACCTACATCAAAGAACATTTTCAAATGACGGGTGAGGTGAGGTGAGGCTAGCGAGGAAGGTGGGTATTTTATTGCTGTAGTTCCGCCAAAGTGCAAGCATCAATTCCGGGAAAACAGGAACATACAGAGTAACGGTATTTATAAAAATGGTAATGGTAGTGGTGGTGGTCTAAAGGGATTACTATCTTCCCTCAAAATTTACAAAAATTAACTTAAGCCATTTATGGCTTTGCCTCAATGCAACAGAAGATTGAAATCAATGACAATTATAATAATCAAGTTTGTTGCTTAAGTCTTTTGTAAATATTTCAAAAAGGTTAAATTTATTTATTATTATTACCCCCAGTGGCAATTGAAACTTGTAAAGAAGCTACTAAGGGAAAAACTCGTAATAAAATAAAACGTGACAATCGTACAAACGTCATAAATTACAAAACATAAATTAAAATGTTTTATTGGCCAGCGTTGTTAGTTTAACAATTTAATAAGTCAATCTGTAAGAAAACGAATTTCCCTGACCTAACTTGGCTATGCTGCTCATGTTTTTCCCATCATTTCGAGTTATTAAAACAAAAGACTTAAGCAACAAACCTTCTGGAAGTCACATGTTGTCTCATAAGAAATTTTCAAATTCCCCCTTTGTCTCTCTCTCACTCTCTCTCTCTCTCTCTCTCTCTCGAAACACATGTCTCTCTAATTGTTTGCTTGTTTTAAATTTAAAAACAAAGCAAAATTTTGAAATAAGAAATCCCCCATCAAACATCTTTCGCATATCCATACATTTCAGCCTCTATGGTGTGGGAATTTCTAGAAGGCCAGTGTCTGGGTGCGTTAATGAGAAACTCTCAGTGAAACACGCACATGTCGACTTCTCCCCGAAGAAAAACAAATTATTGTAAAGGAAAACCATTTTAGAATCCATTTGACCAGGTTGCTGGATAATTACTATACCTACCTACCTGCCTGCCAACCTAGCCGGGAAAACTCTTGAAAAAATCACGCATTTCTTGTTACATTGCCAATGTGCAAGTGGCTGATAATTACCCAGCATAGAGTTGTTGTAAAACGTAACAATTAGAGTGAGAAAATAGTTTGTAAAGAAAATTGTTTTTGTTTTTTTTTCCTCCTCGAAATATTTATTATTGTTCATATGTCCAATCTGTCTTTGGAGGGTAAGTGGAAAGGTGAAAATTATTATTGTTTTCTCACTGTGTGAAAAAAATAAAAGTGAGTGTCTTATTACTTTTTGCAAAAGAGGGAGATTTGTTTTGTTCAATGACCGGGAAGAGGTTTTTTTTGGAAAAAAGTGACAATGACCCCTTCATACAAGTGGACATCTTAAGATATGCTTTATTTGTCCACATATGAGATTTTGTCATTTTGTGGGAAATCTGCAGGAAAATAAATATGAGTTTTCACATAATAAATGAAAATTAAACTGCAACTCTCATTAATTTGGAGTTTTTACAAGGAAGCAGAGAACAGGGAATGGATGAAACTCTATATGAAGAAAAAAAGTGACAAGAATTAGGGAGAATGGTAGAAAAAAGTTACATTGACCATCAACCAATCATCTTCATGAAGATGAATCGGCCTTCTTTAAGGAAATCAACCGATAATAACCGAATATAAGAAGATCAAGCGATTTTGACATATTCTACAACGATCAACTGATCTTCATCTTCTTTTCAACCGATTTTTTACAAGAGGATCAACCGATCTTTTACAAAAAGATCTACCGATCTTCTACCAGAAAATTAACCCATCTTCTACCAGAAGATCAACCCATATTCTATAAGGAGGTCGACCGATCTTCTCAACGATCAACAGATTTTCTATGAAAAGATCAACCGATCTATAAGAAGATCAACCGATTTTCTTAAAAAAAAATCAACCGATCTTCTATAAGAAGATCAACCGATGATCTTCTTATAGAAGGATCAACCGATTTTCTTAAAAAAAATCAACCGATATTTTTCAAAATAATTAACCGATCTTCTATAAGAAGATCAGATATAAGATATAAGTAAATCAACCGGTTTTCTATAAGAAAATCTTCTCCCAGAAGATCAACCGACTTTCTACAAGAAAATCAACTGATCTTCTTCAAGAAGATAAACCGATCTTCATCGAGAAAGACAACCGATCTTCTTCAAGAAGTTGAATCGATCTTCTTGAAGAAGATCAACCGATCTTCTTGAAGAAGATCAACTTATCTTTCTCGACAAGATTTACCGATTGTCTACAAGAAGGTCAACCGATCGATGGTCAACTGACCGAAGAAAAGCCCAGCACATTTTCTACAAGATGAACAATTGTCTTTCAACAAGAAAATCAACCGATCTTTTTCGAGAAGATCAACAGAACTCCTTCATGTAAATCATCTGGTTTCTTCAAGAAGATCAACCGATCTTCTATAGAAACATCAACCGATCTTTCACCAGAAGTTCCGCCGAACTTTTGCCAGAAGATCAACCGACCTTCTTCATGAAGGTCAACCGAACTTCTTCAAGGAAATCAACAGGTCTTCTACAAGAAGATAAACCTACCTTCTAAAAGAATTTCTGTCGATCTTCTAGAAGGGTGATGGTCTTAAATGGGCTCGTTTGGCCGCTTACCTGCTAGAGAAAGCCTATTTCGAACTCAATATACCAATTTTGAGAAAATTCCGATGAGAATTTTAGTTAATATTGAAAAAATAATAAATATCGGAAGGTGTCATTATATGGGGGAATATACGAGAATGTGGACCTTCATGGGTAATTTTTTATCATAGATGGTGACATACATTACGAACTACGAATTACAAATTAGAGATTCATACCAATATTTATAATTCATAAATAATATTCATATATATTTTTTTCACTTAGTTTTGTAACGAATTTTCACATTTCATTTACTTACACTGAAATTTTTTACATCATTTTTAACTTAGGCACAAACCTACACAACACACATATGAATTTATACAATGCATTTTCTCTAGAAAATAAATATAATCTTTGGTATATTCACAATCGTTTACCAAATTTCAAGAGTCTTGGGAATAAAAAAAAAAAAACAAATCGAAGAGCAAACTAGGTTTTTAGTTCGTACGATCTTTGTTAAAAGTGAAGCCAAGTTAGTCAATTTCAAATTGTAGATTTAAATTTACGATTTTCCAAGTGGTTTCTAACTTGGCTTAGCAGTGCACTCCAATTTCATTAAGATCCTCTCGGAAAGTGATGTCATTTATGTGAGTTGTAATTCATTCACTTGTTTTGAAGGTCCAAAATCTTTTAAAACTTAAGTCAAGAATATTCAAAATGTGTCTTGACTTTTTTAAACTTGGCTTAATAGTGTGACCACATGTACTTTCTATACCGATCTTCATTGAAAAGTAATGCCAAGTTTATACTAAATTACAAATTTAAAGCATACTTTTAGTCTTCTACAATTTTATCCAACTCTTCAAACTTGGTAAACAATTGTGCCACAATATCAATGAAGAAAAAAAGGTCTTTCACTTACCTTTAGGGCACAAAAAATACAATCTTGTCCGCTGCAAACATGCTGATTCAGAGAACGAAATGATCTGCGAAAGGCATCCAAATGCCATAAGACCTGGAAGTAAAGAAAATATAAAAATTGAAAATTAATGAAAAATTTAAGTTAGTTATAGAAATTTAACTACAAAATAGTTAATAAATTAGAACTAGTATTTCGAAAGTAATTTTTACATAATTTTAAATTTCCAAAAAAATTTAATTTTTCAATTGGAAATTTCATTTTTTAATTTTTATTTAATTTTTCTATTGGAAATTTCATTGGGAAAAAATATTAAATAACCTATTGATATATAAAACAGTAGTGAAATATCTGAGAATTAACGCTCAGACGAAACGGCTTAGAATCTTGAAATTTTGCAAAAGGGTCAGTCTTGGTCCGGGTTTTTGGAAATTCGTACTAAAAGGGTAAGAAAAGTGTTAAAATATACTAAAAAAATAAATAGTCTGTAACGGAACGTGCTAAAATTCTGAAATTTGGAAAGAGAGTTACCGATAGAGTGCAGATTAGATGCACCAAAGGGTTTTTGGAAAATCGGACTTTAAGGTAACGAATAGTTCTAATCTGGTACTAAACTTCTGAAATGGGACCATTTAATATCATGTGAACGGATAGAAATTTGGTATGTGAATGAAAACTGGAAAGTATGTTTAATATATGAAGGTGGTAGGGGATGTGTGGAAAAGTTTGGTTTAGGGTGTACGAATGAAGTTGGAATTTTTAATTTTTTTATTGTGATTGCTGTTGGTGGTAGGTTTGTGATAAAGAGGTGATGCTGCATGATGATGATGATGCACGAAAAATACTAATAAGTACAATTTGGCATTGAGTAAACAGATATTACTTGAAATCTGAATTTTAGTTTTAGGGATCTGTTCATGTGTAGTCTTGACATATGGAGGTGGTGAATTGTGTACTATAATTGTATGGAAAGTACTAAAAAGTACTAAATTTTGAAATTTGATATTTAAATAACCGTTGGTGGCTAAGGTTAAGATATGGAGGTCGTTTTTGAAATGCGCCCTTTTCATTGTACGGAAAGTACTAAATGGTAATAAATTTGGTGTTATGTGAAGGTATAGAACTGGAATCCTCAAATTTGAGGATCTCAAATTATTAAAGTATCTGATGGCATCTCGAATTGCGATATGAAAGATATGAAATTTGGTATTGGGGTCGGTGTTCATGTGTAGCGGACATATTGGGTGGTTTCGGAAATGTGTACTATGGTTGCACGAAAAGTACTAAATGGTACTATATTTGGTATTAAATGAATAAATTGAGATATATTTCTGAAATTTGATATTCACTTAACCGTTAGTATCTGATGTTTAGATTTAGAGGTAAGCTTGGAAATGCCAACTATAATTGTTCGGAAAGTAATAATTGTTACTAAATTTGGTATTGTGTGAAGGGATAAGGCAGGAATCTTCAAATTTTGATATTGAGGTATCTGTTGCTATCTGAGGTTAGGATTTGGAGCTGGTTTCTGGAATATAAACTACAATTGCACGAAAAGTACTAAATGGTACTGAGTTTGGGAATAAAACTGAAATGCCGAAATTTGATGTAGATGTCACTGTCACACTGGATGTTGGTGTCTGTGGTTAAAATTTGCCCTTGGTTTAGGCAATGTGTACTAAACAGGGTGAGATGACAAAACTGCAACCAACTTCAGACTGCTGTCATTTCTAAGCCACTCGTCCTATAGCTATTAAAATTATTCCAGTGACATCTCATTATATTGTTTACAAGCATGCAAAAGCATTTTGTTGAGAATTTTCCAGCAAACAAAGTTATTCGTGATGGAATTCAAGCGTGATAGTGTGATTTCTTTATATTTGGCTTGAAAACCACAAGTGGCTATCGTTAGAGCACTCCAGCATTTAAATGTGAATAAATTCCAAAAAGCCATTGCAATTCCAAAAAGTGCAAGAACTTACACCGCAACAAAAAGAAAATAGATTCAAAAGAGCCAAAGAGTTTCTTCGCTTGGCCGAAAGTGGTGAACTGCCGAATTTGGTTTTTTTCCGATGAGAAAACATTCGTTGTCCAGCAGTTTCTAAAACAAACAAAATGATCTTGTTTACTTGCCAAAGAGGTCAGTTGAAAATGAGCATCTTCAGTTGGCCACCAGACCAGAACTCGACCACATCAGAATAAATGCCAAATATTATCGCGAAAATATTCTGGAGGTTGTATTAAAGCCTTGGGCACGCAAACATCGTGGCCGGATACCTTGGACATTCCAACAGGACTCAGCACGCGCCAAACAAGAATGATAACAAAATGAGGTTCCTCGCTTTATTTCCAGCGCACAATGGCCAAAAAAATCTCCGGATACCAATCCGTTGAACTATTGTGTCTGGAGTATTTTGAAAGCAAGGTTGGCACTAAAAAATACCAAAGTGTCGATCACCTCCAGCAAGCTCTTCGCCGGGAATGGGTCAAAATACCGCAGAGCAACATTCGGGCAGCGTGTGACGGTTTCATTGGCCGTTTGAAGGCCATAATCCGTGTCAAAGGTAGCCAATTCGAACAAATCTAAACTTTTTCTAAAATTTGATGGTATTTTCGACATTTTTGTTTTCATTCAATAGAATTTAAAATTTAAAAAAAAAATAAAAATTATGGCGTTTGACTTTGTTGCAATTTATTTTTATCTCACCCTGTATATAAAAGAAGCCATTAAATGGTACTTCTTTTCATAGATAGACTTAGGATGTAGATTTTGTTTTTGAGTCTTTCTATGAAAATAAGTTTCATTTTATGGCTTCTTTAAATAGAAGATTTCCCAAAGATATTTTTGATAATTTTCATAATTTCCAAATGTCTTTGGTATAAGTCCCATAAACAATACTATGAGTGGTGAATGGCAAATAGAATCCAATTGTGGTAAATGGAGTTGAAAATTGGCTATATCTCACCATGTTATGTTATTTCTGAAGATATTCTCTTATATGGTAGGTATCCATGATCTAAGGTCGTGGATTAAAAGGTGAATAAGATGTTGCTCTCCATTGAGTAGTTAGGTTTGGGTCTTAGGTTATAAATTACTCCTGTTCTGGTGAATCGTCTCACATAATTGGTTGGAGTCTTTGCTATTTGTGTGGATTGTGGTAAATGAATTTGGTATCTGTTGTGGCACCAGTGTGTCTTAACTGTAACAAGTTTTCGAATATATTTTCAGCGGCCATCTTTGTTTCACCCATACAATGGCAATGAGGAATACATGAACTCACCACTACATGCGTTGAAGAGATTTCTAAAGAAACTCAAGAGTATGACAAATCAAGCCAGTTGGCTTGGAAGGTTTTTTGTACTAAAGACTACATTGGTGGCCCACCGAAACTGGTTTCTCCATTGCTTCAAGCAACCTGGAAATCGTGTGTCGCTTAAGCTGACTGGCTGGAGTGAGAGCTAAATTTTGTAGTTTCAGAAGGGGTATGGAATGAAGCCGCTTGTGTGTTTATCATATGAGCATATCTCAGCAGTTGCTTGGGTTTGAAAGACTCTGGCTTAAACAACACGAAAGGTTTAACGTATCAAGAGAATTCAAAATGTTAGCCCATGTTGTTGTGGCCAGACGTTGGGTGAAGGCCCAAAGAGTTACTTATGTTTTTTTTGTTGTTGTATGCTGGCTGGCTGGCTATGATTTTGTCGCATTGTATTCTGTTTTTTATTTCATGAAATAAAAAAAAAAACAAAACTTGCTGGATTTTAAACCCACTTTTATCGTTTTCAACTTTTTGTTTCTGCAGTTTCCTTTCAAGCTCTTTGAAGTTGTTGATTGTTTTTTTTTTTATTTTTTTAATTTGAGACTGGATTTTGATTGTGTCTGTGTGTGTGTTTTTTTGCTTTTAAGTTTTTGGTATACCCTGTTCAATGTTTCAGGTCAGATATTGTTAGAGGAGATGGAGTTAGTTTTTTTTTTTTTTTTTTTTTTTGAAAAGTACTTTTTATAAACTTGAGGTTTAATAGAAAAAAATCCCAGCTTTGCAGTTGAGCAAAAAACGAAAAAAGAACACAGCTGTGGCCATTGTCTGCATGCCTTTGGGTGTTCTTTTTTCAATTTCTTTCATTTCCTCTATTACGTTTTTTTTTTTTTTTTGGTTTCTATTATATTTTAGGTATAGATATCTGTTGTCTTTGGTGGCTGGCTGGCTGTCTTTCTATCTATCCGCCGTTTCGTTTTGTTTTGCATCCATTTAGCATTACCAAGCCAAGAATTGTTTTATGTATCCACATACAACATTGAGTAGCGAGTCTATTTGGGGAAGTTGAAAAATTACAAACTATTTTTTTTCTTCTTTTTCAATTTAATGTAATTTCATGCCCCTCTCCCCTGGCTAATTTTCACTTTTTTGGTGGTCCAAACAATTAGACAAAAGCATGAAACTTGATATTATAATTTAAAATAGACTTTCTTAGGGAAAATCTCTTTAAATATTAAAAACCAGTTCTCTTAAGATTTTGGTGTTGTTTTTGGGTGTTTTATATGGTTATTAATAAAATGCAATGTTCATATGGCGGGTAATAAAAGAAAACACCCAGAAAAACGAAAGACTTAAGACACAAGCGTTTAAATATTATTTTCTATTTTTTTTGTTTCACATCCCATAAAGGTGGCGTTCCCCCACCTCTATGAATGTTTAATATTAGTTTGAAATTTGTTTTAAATTGCAAACTAGTTTATATTATTGTTGTGTTTTTTAATTTGGAACTCTTAGGTTTTTATTTTTTCTTTTAAAAAAATATGTGGTTTTGCATTGAATTATCATTTTTAGACCCCCACTTTTTGGCAAATGAAGGTGTATAGCATTTGACCTCCCCCGCAATGGTCCTATATTTTGAATATTTATAAATCTCATAGCATCGGAAAGAATATAGCGATTTTCTTCCAACTTCAATTCAAAATTCATAGAAACAAGTTAAAAAGCATCAGTCGGTTTTGCCGACAGATTTGACTTCTGTTATGATTATTCAAATTGTTGAACCTCTATGGAGTAGGTTCCGAAGGAATGGGCCAATATTGACCATTACGCATCGGACCTAAA